CGATTGACAGACTAGACTCCACCCCTTCACTCATAATCCTCTCAAATTGACAATTACATAACTACCATACCCACCTTCCCACCCTCATGAATCTTTGATTATATATTGCTATTGTGATTTCATATCTTACACTGTCTGTTGTCTCCCTTCACCCACATTGCTATTATTTGTCCCCCTTGGGGGTGGTGGCGGTGGGTATATAGCCAACCTTCTGATCAGTTCCCCCTTTCTTCTCCTTCCCCGTCTTCAGTCTCACTGATGTAAAACTACTTCACTTTTTTCAGCTTCTGACATCGACTTTTTTAAAGTACCCAGGATGTTACTTTCAGAATATCCTATGTTCTGGATGTACCTGATTATTTCCTAATGTCAAATGCCCCCACTCCACCACGAAGAGAGAGGCTCTGAGGTCCTTGTCAGGGCAGGGGAGACAGCAGTAGGGCCTTTGTTCGTAGAAAGGCCACCGCACCTTGCATGCTCCTCATTACGGATGGACTCAGATTCCTCTGGAGTGCGTTATCCGGCACCGCCCCTGCTCTGAACGCACTCCAGTATGCACCACCTTTAGGATGACTGCTACATAGGTGGTCATGTGTACTCCTCAGTGCATCCATCAGAAAGCACATCAAGTCCTGGGATTCTACCATCAGTAATGCCACACTGCATCATGTGTCTGAGGAACCGGGTGCCAGCTTTCTCCATTTTAACAAAGAAGTTTTTAAATATGTTCTTTGGAATTAGTAAATATATGTGGGTGATAAGCTCTCCAAATTATTTACCTAATGATTTTAGCATTCATTAATGTCCCTAGCTTGAATCGATTATTACATTAGTTCAATGCATTTCGAACTATTCACCTTTTTAATTTGTTGGGTTTCTACTTAAAAAACCCAAAAAGGAAGATGACCGCCAGATAAGTAGCTCACGCTCGGAGCTCCGAAGAGATCGATGAGAGGGGAGAGTTGGGGGTGGAGTAGGGGTACCAAATTGTCTGTTCGATTCCCAAGACCACTCAGAGCATCTCTCGGACCCAGAGGTGAACTCCCACCCATAGCCAGGGCTCTGCGCAAACACCCGTGGTCTCAGGTGTGGCGCTCTGCGCAGCCACTGCCGGGACCTGAGCCACAAGGCAGCTAGGTGCACGCACAGCAGAGGCTGCGCCCGACCGCCTAGCGTCCCTTGCACAACCGCCAGTCAGGAACCCCCACCCGGCCACAAGGAGCCCGGACCCATGTGTGTGCTCCAACCAGCAAACCCCCCCACACCCTGCAGATTCAGGCCCCACCGGGGCACCCCTGGCGGTCCAGCAGGCCAGATCCTCCCCTCTTCTCCCCAGAAGTGCGCGCCTGCGCCACAGCCAGGCAGAAGGCAGAGTCTGAGGACATGCCTCTGGG